TACCTTTTTCTTGCTATATGTCATTTCCCTTTGCTTTCTCTGACAGACCCAGCAGATATCAGCATTACCAAGTATGGTCGGCATTATTAGACTGGCAGAAACTTAACTCTCAGTTGAAAGTTCAGAAAGTGAACAGAGTGATTATTCATGAAAACTATAATGGACGCACCTACCAAAACGACATAGCTTTGATTGAAATGAAAAAATCTCCGGGCAAGAAAGAGTGTGAGCTCCCTCATTCTGTCCCTGCCTGTGTCCCATGGTCTCCGTATCTATTCCAGCCGAATCACAAATGCATCATCTCTGGATGGGGTCGAGAGAAAGGTATATGCTTTACCTCTGGGGGTGGAACTGGGGTTGGAAATGTGTGGACGCCACTCTAGTACTCAGAGAAATATTAGGTACAGGAAAGTGAGTACCCATCCAGGAAGGGCTGCCTGATGGGCTCATAACGCCACTGTCAGAAGGACCACATGAGACGGGAGCTGTCACTTGATTCTAGAGCACTTGTCTAGCATGGGCAAGTTCCTGGGTTTGATCCCCAGAACTGAAAACAAGAAACCAAGTGTGGTCTTGTGATAGGGCACACCTATAATTCCAGAAGGAGAAGCAGGAGGATCAGGAGTTCAAGGCCAGCCTTGAGGCCTATAAGATTTGCTTCATTTTTGACCTAAAGAGGTATTAAACAGTTTTATCTCAAATGGACCTCCTGCAAGACACAGGCAAGGGGGTAATTGGACATCAGACATTTGCAAGATGTTTGTAATTAAATTACTGTGATTTTATGCAGTCACTAATTACATTAAGTATTTATTATGCAACAACGTTGTGTAAGAAGATTCTGGATGCTGGTGAGGAATGGAGGAGGACCTAAGCCCTGAGCTCTTGGAAGTCTGGGTAGTGAGTAAGCGGATAATGAAAAACTCCACCATGAAACTGCTGTGTGCTGGAAAACAGAAGAGGGGAGATGGGACAAAGTCTCACTGCCCACCCCATCCATTTTCCCTGTGTGCTTATGTGTCTCTTCCTCCACGGCCCATCAGGAAGGAGTACTTGGCCCTTCTCTTCCCACAGACCAAGGGTGTTCAGGTCCGCAAACTCTCACTTAAATGTGACGGAATTCTAGCTCCCTGTTCACTGCCTCAGAGCACTTAAATATGCACTTACTTCCTCAAGCACAGAAACATGTACACACTGACAGCTTCAGCTTCTAACCTCTCCGTGGCTGCTTTCTCTCCGATAGTAATTTCAAGGAAATTGCTAGCTGTAAGAAAAGATATCAAGGATGTGCACGAGATAGGCCCATCACTGTCATCTCTGCGATGCCTCTACCGAACCCAGCAATAGGTTGGGACTGCACACAAGGATTCGCTCTTTACTAACTGACTATGATTTTAGGCATCTTCCCTCACTGTTCATTGAAATCTAGAAAGATAATTGCAGAAACTAAGGCTATGAAGAGAATATGACATATAATTGCAGAAACTAAGGCTATGAAGAGAATATGACATAAAAATGCTAAGGAAGTATCCTCAGTTATTAATATATGTAGTCATTAGTAATGTATTTTCATGGATCTTCTTAGTGTTTTACTAAGCTATAACCACTTTTGTTTAGATTTCTCATTTGTGGCTCCTAAATGTCTGTTTTCTCACTTTGTGTAGATAACCAAAAAGTCTACTCACTTAGGTGGGGCCAAGTTAAGCTGATAGGCAACTGTTCGAAGTTTTACGGAAACCGCTACCATGAGAAAGAAATGCAGTGTGCGGGTAAGTGCCAAGTGGGTGACCTGGGCTACGCACTGTATCAGTCTGCTTGACACTTCCAGCTTACAACTGGGTCTCCTCACACAATGCTGTCAGGTACAGACGCCAAGCGGGAGGACTATGCTAACTTGGGGAAGCAAACAGAAGGTTTACAAATTATTTATTTCCCATGCTGCATCTCAATCCGCAGTTCCAAGAGGGATGCTGGGGCAGCCCGCTATTTCCTGTCAGGGAAGTCTCTCCATGCATCAGCGTGAGAGGCACAAAGAGTCACGGTGGCCCTGACAAATGGAAGGAACTGTGGTTTTCTTTCTTAGGTACCGATGATGGGTCCATCGATGCCTGCAAAGGGGACTCTGGTGGTCCCTTGGTCTGCCAGGATGTCAACAATGTGACTTATGTTTGGGGCATTGTGAGCTGGGGTGAAAACTGTGGAAAGCCAGAATTTCCAGGTGTTTACACCAGAGTAGCTAATTATTTTGACTGGATTAGCAATCATGTGGGAAGATCCCTTATTTCTCAACACAATGTCTGAAGCTATGGCCTCTTCTCTACATTTACTAATTCAGGAGTCGTGTTTTAATTAAAATGAAACTGTGTAATTAGTTCTCAGAGCTAGCAAGAAGCAAGCCTTACCGGCCAATTCGAAAGACTTCTTCAAAGTTTATGTCATTTTAGAATTCTGTTGGGTAATACAATAAACATCTGCTTTAGCATACAAGGATTGTTTTTTTGTTTGTTCTTCAGAGTTAGTACTACTCAGCTACACCTGCGACCTACACATTTTATTTATAGAAAGTGTGACTAGATTAGCTTTTCAGGCAAAAATGATGTTTTAACTACAGTAAAGGCTGAGACAGTTCAAGTGATACTGAAATCACACAAGGTTGTTCAAGCTCCAATCTGTCACCTATGAATTAAACGAAGAGAAACCAGCTTACAATTCACGATCCCAGAGAACCTAGACAACAATGAGGACTCTAAGAGACACATACATGGATCTAACCTACATGGGAAGTAGAAAAAGACAAGATCTCCTGAGTAAATTGGGAGCATGGGGACCGTGGGAGAGGGTCGAAGGGGAGAGAAGAGGGAGGGGAGTAGAGAAAAATGTATAGCTCAATTAAATAAATAAATAAAAGTGACAGAGGCTGCAGGCTCAGAACCCTTCTGCAGTGACTTGAAACCTGCAAAAACAAACAAAACCCAGAACTAGTACTAGGGTCAGGTTCTTCCTGAAGGGCAATGAGGGATCAACAGCTTCTCGGGCTCAGGTAGCAAACAGGGCCACCCACTGAGCTATCTCACTGGGTTAAAGTTGCTTCTGTCCGACTACTTTCTCACAATAACAGGAGAGAAAACTAAAGCACAGAAGAGCTTCCCAAGCAGCAGCACGTGTGATGGCCTCACAACGTGGGGAGCCAGCCACGCACAGGCTGGAGGGCAGCTCAGTGTCCCTGGCACCCAGGGTACATCAGAGAAAAGGACGAGCTGGGTGTGGCCTCCAAGACCTGAAACCACCTTAAGAATTTTATTAAGTCCAGGCAGGAGGCAGGGAGGAAGGTGGAGGGTTGAAATGAGAATTGAAAGTCAGGGAGAAGTCTAGACTATTTAAAGGGAAACCGAAAAAGACGGAAGCCAAGGCAGGGATGGAGGGACCCGCACTGGCTCTGGGTAGGTTGAGGCCGGAAAATGCACCATCTGGGGACAAAACATTGTACCAGGGAGAGGCATTTGAGTCCATGGCAATTATGAGATTTTTCTCTTAACTATGAGGTGATTGATTGGTAAGGCCATGGATGACAGATAAAATAACAAAAGTTTGGAGCTGAAGCGGGTTTAACCAGTTGGGTTACTTTGAATTTGTGGTCAGTGAGATTGCAGTGTGCAGTAGAAGGGACAGGGTTCCAGGGAATTTGGCATTTGAGAAGGTCATCCCTAGAGAGAGATAGCAAACTGAGTCCTCAGAGCAAGGCTATTGTTAAGGTAAAGGACATTAGCACACCGAGATGTTGTAAATGTGTAAATAGGAGAGGCTAGGAGCCAAGATCCCAGAACTTCAGAGGCCTAGGTAGGAAAATGGTGTGTTTAAGGCAAGTCAGAGGGCAACCTGGGTTACAAGCCAAGATCCTGTTCCAGAAATATAAACAATAAATGTTCAGAAAAATCCTCTCCACCAGCACACAGAAATCCAATCACACCAAATTAAACCGGGAGGGGGGCTGGGATGGATGCCAGGGAATGGGGTGAAGTTCCCAACTTAACATCACAATAAGGGTCTTGGGTTTTAACTGAGGATTGCTTCCACATAACCTTACTGCATTCTGTCCAGTTGTGGACGACATATTCCTGGAACAGGAGACCTCTCTGGTAGAAGAATTAAATGAGCCAAGTCTTCCTTTAAAATTCTGGTGGTAAAGCTGGTTGGAACCTCAGAGATCAGCTCTCAACCACTGTATCCTAGAGCCTAGAGCGACATCCAATGATCTCTGCCTTGTCTACACCCTCTCTTCCTAATCTATGGTTATCCTTTCCCTAAGGTATTTAGAATTTTAAGGAGGGGTGATTGTGAATTTCCCCTTTCTCGAAATTAGACCGAGGCATTAGAGGAAGTGTGCTAGCTCAGCGGTTCTCAACCTGTGGGTCGGACCGCAACCCGGATTCATAACAATAGTAAATCACAATGATGAGTCAACAACTAAATAATTTAAGATTGGAGTGGTCACCACAACCTGAGCTGTATTAAAGGGTCACAACATTAGGAAAGTTGAGAACCACGGCTCTGATTGAGAAAGGGGTCCGTTCTCAACGACCCTCAGACGGACAAGCCACTTACAGTGCTAAGACTGTGTGGCAGGTTATGAGGTCTCCATGAGGACCCAAGTTCTGTAGTGTACGTCACGTGCTCAAACAAGCCCCTGCTGCACTGCACCCCTGGCCGTGACGGCAGAGTCCCAAAGGCAGGCTGTGCCGCTGCGGTCGTCCTTCGTTGTGGCGCAACTCACTCCGGTGCTGAAACAAAGCAACGAATACGTCTAGGGCACGGACGGGGTTTTTTTATGACCCCACAGAGGTAGGACGGAAAGTTACCGGGAGCGTTCCAGGGACCACGTGGGCGAGGAAGTCGCCAGCTCCCTCTCCCGGCTCCCACGCTCCTGCGCAGGCGCACTGTGCAGGACGCGGCCCGGGTGAGCGGCGCGCGCCCCCGCCGGCCCGCCCCTCCGCGCAGCTGAGTGACGGTGCGCGCCCCCGCGAGCGAGCGCGGAGGAGGCCGGGACCTGAGCCGGAGCGCGCGCCGCTGCCCAGCCCGGCCGCCCGGCCGCGCAGCTCGATGGTGGCCCCGCGGCCCGCGCCCGCCCGGGGGCCCGCGCTCCCGCTCCTGCTTCTGCTCCTGCTGGCCGCCGCGGGAGGCCAGGAACAGGACCAGACCACCGACTGGAGGGCCACCCTCAAGACCATCCGCAACGGCATCCACAAGATCGACACGTACCTCAACGCCGCTCTCGACCTGCTGGGCGGCGAGGACGGGCTCTGCCAGTACAAGTGCCGCGACGGTGCGGGGGATGGGGGACGGGGCGGGGGAATGGGGCGACAGGTGCGGGGCGGGGGATAAAGGGACAGGTACGGGACGGGAGGAATAGGGGGACAGGTACCGGGCAGGGGAAAATAGAGGAACAGGTGCGGAGCGGGGGAAAATAGGGGGACAGGTGCGGGGCGAGGGGGAAATAGGGGGACCGGTGCTGGGCAAGAGGGGGGACAGGTGCGGGGCGGGAGGAATAGGGGAACAGGTACGGGGCGGAGGAGGTAAATAGGAGGACAGGTACGGGGCGGAGGGGAATGGGGGACAGGTGCGGGGCGGGAGGGATGGGGGGACAGGTGCAGGGCAGAAGGATGGGGGTCAGGTGCCAAACTGGGGAGGTAGGAAACAGATACAGGCCAGGGGGATGTAGGGACAAGTGCGGGGGCAGAGGGATGGGGGACAGGTGCCAGACTGGGGGATAGGGCCACAGGTGCAGGCCAGGGGGATGGAGGGACAAGTGCGGGGCAGAAGGATGAAGGGACACGTGCGGAACAGGGTGATGGGGGAACAGGTGCAGGAGGACCTTGACGGCGTCCTCGGGTGTGGAAAGAGTGAGCAGTGCTTGGAGCGTGCTGTCCTTGGGATTGAGCAATCTAGGAACAAACGTGACAGGTCGCCAGAGTGCACGGTCTGCTCACTCAGCTCTTCATTACTTCTGATTTTTTTTCCCACCCTCCCTCCTCATTTTCTTTTCCGGCGATTGCACAGAGTTGCCTAAGAACACACTGATTGATGTAGGGACTCTGGAAGTGGAGTGGAACATACTGATTTTAGCGCAGGCGGACACACACACACACACACACACACACACACACACAAATATCTAAATTAGTCAGCTGAGAAAAAAAAAGCCAAAAGAGAATTTTAAAGCCATCAGTTGATTTTAAGTGGCGTTTGGTTGTTATCCTGCAAAGCTAAGAAAAATAAATTGTGACTTTTGTACAGATATTTGGTGTACTTGGTTTTTGAGGGAGGTGTACTGGATTGAAAGAGTTCTACTAACTTCTAGAAAACAGTGTATTAAAACTTGAAGTTTTATTTTGCTTTGGTTTTTGAGTCTCAGGTAGCCCACACTGGCACCGAACTCAGTGTAGCTGAGGCTAGCCTTGAACTCTTGATTCCCTGCCTCAGCCTGTCCGGTGCTGGTATGACAGACACCCATTTGTGTGCTTTCTAGCTTTCTTCCTTGGATATCCGTGCTTCTCTTCCTTATGCTCTGTCCGTATTGTAGTTTTTAGCTCTCTCCTTTCACAGTTTGAAACATCTATTTGAATCTAAGAACTTGCTTCATGGCAGTGCAGATGGTAATACAGTCAGCACTCAAGGCAACAATTTGGGTGTTTGGGGATTTTGTTTTTGATATTTGTTGTTGTTTATTTTGAGAATTTTTTTATAGCTTTTTTGGGGGGGTATGGGACTTATGTTTGGCGATTCAAACTGTTAGGATAGAACTTGAAAAAATCCAGTTTCTTATGCAATTAGCCAAGGCTACCAGCTGAAGATAAGGGAAATCCGTGACTTTAGTGAGAAAGGCTGATTGCAGAGTTGATGATCTTAATAAAAACCTGAAAAACTGCGATGCCACATGCAGCCTGTGCGCCTCCGTTAGGTGAACCTCCACGTTTCTGTTCATACAGAACATGCACCTTTGCTTCTGACGATCTTCCTTTGCTTCTAAACTCAATGCCTAAAGATTTCCACCAGTGAGCACCAAGAAGAAGTACTAAAATGTATTGGGGTACTTTGTGGGTAACAAGAGTTAAATGATAACTTTGCTAAGGCAAACGTTCTAACTTAATTCCTGGCCATTATGCAAATATTAGTCTTGACCATGTGTCAGGGGTTGATAGACTGGGGATTCATCCCTGGAGCTTCGTTCTGGTGGGGAGAAGCAGGCTGTGAGTCTCTTTGTGCTCACTGGTGTGCTGTGAGCCATGCCTTGAACAATAAACTTCCTCCACATAAGCGGAGGACTGCCACGGGGTTCTGGGAGCCATTTGCCCCCGAGATAGGATGCTCTAGCACAGGAGACCATCTCAGAATTGGAAAGTAGCAAGAGTGCTCAGTGGTAATCAGGGCAGGATCGTCCCAAGCCGAGGGAACAGTGAGTACACAGTTGCAGAGGACAGGACCATATAGGAAGGCCAGTCAGTGTGACCCTGAGGGTGCAGCCTGTGGCAACAGAAAGATACAGCTGCTCTTCACAGAGAAAAGGAAGGCCTCAAAGGTACGGTCCTCATAAACAGCCGTGGGTCTGGGGCTGTAGAACTGCTTACGTTGAGAGCATCTCAGACCGATGCTATCCCTCCGAAAAGGCTGCTTTAAACTTTCTTTTTTCTGCTTTCATTTCCTTGAAGGCTCACAGAATTTGCCACCAAGCTCTTAGGTAGGACAAGAACTGTCTAATGTAGCAAATGTGTGTGCGTCCATGTAGCTTCCCTGTCCCTGAGAAGGTGGTGCACACACTTCTTCCCTTTGGGTCATCTTCCCTTGGATAGGGAAACACCTTTGTGAGTTATGTGAGGAACAATTTTATGTTTGCCATTTTTCTTTTACTCGTGGATGCGCACATGTACATGCGTGTGTGTGGTGCATGCAAGTGGGTGTTGAGTGCTGGGCACATGGAGAGGCTGAGAGAGATTGTTGACTGACTTTCTCGGTTACACCTTGCTCCCTTAGGACAGGGTCTCTCTGAAAGCGAGCGCACTGATATGCCTAGGCTAGCCCGCCAGTGAGCTCCAGGCATCTGCCCATCTCTGTCTCCTGATACTGGGGTTGCAGGCACACACTCCTCTGCCCAGCCATTTACTGGGCGCTAGGGATTTGAACTCTGCTCTGGCTCAGTGTGGCATAACAACCACCCTTACCCACTCCCAGCCCTTAACTCCCCCCCCCACCCCCGACATAAAAGGAAATCAAGGGAGAAAAGTTTTCCATTTCTGTTGAAAAATAGAGAAAAAAATAGCTTCTAAAGTGCTTTTAGAGTTATCAATAAGTTGTTCATTTCTCTAGTTTTATAGACCCTAACAGGAGCCTCTAAGTGTTATACTGAGAATTAAGCATCCGTGGAGGTAGGGAAGCCATATGCAGGGTCCAGACAAAAGGTGGCAGTGATTCTGTCTAATTTGGGAGGAGTCGGAGTGATGAGCGAGGGTTGAATTTGCGGTACACTTTGAAGGAAGAGCCTAAAGGATTTGCGGTTGGCTTGGCAGTGCTGTGACTAGGGCAGAAAATGATAGCAGAGGTGATGGAGGAGAGCGCGGAGGGGAACACTGGCGGCTTGTTCTTGCCTGTGAAAAGTGTGATTTCTAGCGTGCCAAGAGAGAGACTGGTCAGGAGCAGGCAGCACACCCCTGTTACTAGGTGGAGGTAGCATGTGGGCACACGTTAGGTTCTGATTGCCTACTTTTCAGTGAGGAATGAAGCCATTAGCTTCTAGGAGTCCTAAGAATGAAGATGTTGGGTGACCTTGGGTGGGTGGAGAGTTACTTTCGGGGCCTCATGGCGATGGATGGTTTAGGTTTGTCCCCACTGTCCATCCTGCATACACGGTGGTAGGGTCTTTGTGTGACCCAGTTACCATCTCTAAGAGTCTCACCTGCTTCATTTTTCTCAGGCAAGATGAGTGAGTCTGTTTGAGAGTATTTGTATCAAATTTGAAAAAATAATGTGGGGGTGGGGTGAGAGGTAGGAAGAGGGAATGGTAAGTTTCTCAATTCCTGTAAATTCTCGGGTTTTTGATACATGGGGAGTTTAAGTTTTCATGTTCAGTATCTCATAACACCACTTATAGCAATATTTTAAATAGTATTAGTACTTAATTTGGCACCCGACTTGGCTCAGTATTTTTTATTTTCTTTTATCTATGTGTGTGAGTGTTTTGCCTGTGTGTAGGTATGCTTATCACATGTGTGTAGTGCCTTCAGAGACCAGAAGAGGGCATCGACCCTGGAGCTGAAGGTACAGGCTGTTGTGAGCCTCTGTCTGGGCGCTAGGAACCAAATCTGGGTCCTGTGCAAAAGAATTGCAAGTGTACCTAACTGCTGAGCCAACTCTACACAGCTCACGAATAAATTGCATTTTAAATAAGTAGCTTTATATATAATTTGTTCTAAATAATTATCTTTGTCCTGGAATTCACTTGGTAGACCAGGCTGGCCTTGAACTCACTGAAATCCACTTGCTTCTGCCCCCCCCCCCCCCCCCCCCCCTGCTGGGATTAAAAGTGTGCGCCACCGCTGCCCGGCTAACTAATTCTTAAGTTTAACTTTGTTTATTGAGTATGTGTTCATGTAATTTTTATTGGGGGAGAGGTACAGAGAGAGAGAGAGAGAGAGAGAGAGAGAGAGAGAGAGAGAGAGAGAGAGAGAGAGAGAGAGGAGAGAGAAATAGAGGAGGGGGGAATGCACACATGAACATGCCATGGTATACATGTGGAGGTCAGAGGGTCGTCAGGTTTGCAGGGGAAGAGCTTTTGTCTACGGACCCATCTTTCGAGCCTTGAAATAATAATTTAATTTACAGGTGAATTTAGTACTTTAAAACACTGAGCTGTCCTCTCATGTTCGTGGTAGGTTTGTCTGTCTGTTCTGTAGGGAAAAAAGCTTTTCGTTTTGGCAGACTATTCCCCTTTTTCTCATCTAGCAATTTCTTGGGCGTTTATTACCTGTTAGGCATCTTCTAACAATGGAGGACAAAGCTGATCTCATAGAAACTGTTCTGCTAACCTGGCTCAGAAATATCAGGAAGAAAACAACCAACCTTGGTGTGTGGCAGATAGAGATGCAAAGATGCTGTTTTTAGGTGGGGTGAGCTGGGCAACTGTGAGATAAGTGACGTCAGCGGGTTGTTCTGAAGAGACCCCAGACTAATTTCACATGCCCCTTTCAGTGCAGATATTAGGGGTCGTGCCCAGCATTTATCCCAGTATTCCTTCCGGTGTCTCATATCCGGCAGGTGTGGGTCTTTCCTATTCAGCGTCATCAGTTTCCCTCTGGGGGACAGCCCTAGGCTGTCAACTTTGCACTTTGACTTGGAGCTTCTCTACCACCTCTGCTCCCTGCCCCCTCTCCTGCATCCTCAGGGCAGGCGTGCTTCCTCGGGACCTTTTCCTCACTCCATTTGCTTCTGATCATCCTCTTGCTCGGCAGTAATTGTCCTTTAAGAAGAAAATACGTACACGTACTGGTGGATATGTCCATGCCTATGTTAGGTCACTGCCACAGCAGTCATCGAGCCGTCAGGAAGCGTTTCTATCCATGGGGAATGGAGAAAAACTAGAGAAGGTACAAAGAAAAGGAAAGACAGAGCATTGCTGGATGAGCAGAAAAGGAAAGACATTCCAAGTTCTAAAAAAAAGGTAGACAGTTAAGAGGATACTAGAAGCCTTCAATTACCTTCATTTCCTTTTGCTTTGTATCAGCTGTGTGAAGGTGGGAATGTTTGGGTATGAATGGCACCCATGTCTGTAGACTTGTAGGTGGGAAGGGGAATGTACATGTCTTCTGAACACGCAGAACACACAGAAACATAGGACAAGCTGTCATTTTCGAATGCTAAACCCAGCCTGTTTTCCTTCAGCTTCCTGACAGGTTTTTACGTGATGTGCTTCCGAATTTAAATTTAATTAATAGTTGTTAACCTGAAAAAGCTGTATATAGCCAATGCCCTCTTTTCTTTTTTTTTTAAATATTTATTTATTTATTTATTTATTTATTATGTATACAATATTCTGTCTGTATGCCTGAGGGCCAGAAGAGGGCGCCAGACCTCTTTTACAGATGGTTGTGAGCCACCATGTGGTTGCTGGGAATTGAACTCAGGACCTTTGGAAGAGCAGGCAATGCTCTTAACCACTGAGCCATTTCTCCAGCCC